TTTATTTGTTTGTCATGCACTTTACACCTTAGCGCTGCATATTGCTATGTTTTATTGATTAGGCGGCTTGAGAGGTTCGCCTTTTTATGCCAGCTGCTTTGATACATTTTTTTACCTTGCGCTCGTTTGTGAACTTACTTGTAATTAATACTTACCTATCCCTCTGCCAGCCCCATTGAAGAAAGAAGCTTGTTGAAGAATATTTAGGATATGTCACTTCCAGGAATCTGATGCTGGTTTCCCCTACTTCCATTTTTGGTTTCATCCATTGATCTCTTAAATCACTGCAGGACACATTATGAACCTAGGTGCCAGAGGGAGAAGCCACAAGTTTATAAAATTGCTCTGGTATTTAAAGGGTTAAGGTACTTCTATCTATTCAGTCGTATCCAACCCTTGGCGATTGCATGGACCGTCACTCGTAAGCTACTTTTTCCTTGAATTCTCTTAGCAATTATTTTACAGGGTAGGTTGCCAGGTCTTTCCCCAACCCCTACCATGCAGGAGATCCCGCATGGCCAGGGATGAAACTAGGAAAATGGTTGGGAATTGAACCCATGACCCAATTACTGCAAGGCAGAGGTGCTAACCACTAAGCCACTGTGCCGCCCAAGGTTCTTACATTCTTGCATTAAAAAAAAAATAAAGGGTGTATTAAAGTAGATCTATAGGCAAATATTTTATTTTAATTTTGAATAGAGTAAGGGTGGGTTATTTCCCCTCTTATTTTTTTTTCCATCTGTGTCGAATTGGGGAAAGTTACCTTCACTTCCTGTCCCATAGCCAAAACAGGAGGTTAGAGGAAATCCCCGAAAATTAAGGGAATCCATCAGATGCCCCCCCCAGGTCACCAAAACAAATGTTCCCATTGGAAGGTTTTCCCACAATTCCTGTTCTGGGGACAACTCAAAATTTGGGATTTTCTTTTACTTTCACTTTCAATTAGAATGGTAAATAGGAAGAATAGAGAGGGTGAATCCCCCTAAGGACTTGATCATAAGTGTATCAATATCCATGTGTTTATGCAGCATTTATTCAGCATTTCTAAAGCCTTACAATCACCTGTCAGTGTGTGCCATGAATATTTCAATGGTACCACACAGTGCTGTTTACACGGTAGCATTGTGTTGTGTTAAAAAATGAATCAGCATGTTGTCTTCATGTGGTATTTCCAGTTTCTCAGCTTTCTTAGTCTCCCCAGACTAACATAGCTGTCCCAACTCTCAAAGTCCTGTGGGAATCCCTTCAACATGGGATGCAGACATAGCCGTCGCCAACATAAGACTGCTTAAGGGGGATGGGGGTCACTTTCCAGGATTTCAGACAGGACCCCTGATATGTCGGTAGCACCTGTACTGGGCCCAGGCCAGTAGAGGAATCACATATGAGCAGGAGAAAGGGTGCAGCAGGAGGGCAATTACAGGAACAGATCTCATGTGTGTTTCTACTTACAAAAGCAGAAAGCCAGTTTCATTTCCCCACCCTCCTGTCTTCATTTAGAGGCTGCAAAAAGCTTGAAAAACGCTTGAAAGCATGACACGTAGGCCCTATTCACACCATGGCATTTTGAATCAGCAAAATCCACCCGCGATTTCAAATGCTTTGCTAAAATTAGAAATCACACAACAACGTTTTCAGGTGCCATACATTTAAAAGGCACCTAAAAACGCGGTGCAGTTCTTTTGCGTGATTAATCGCGCTACAGCCACAGCAAACTGCATCGCATGAAGTGTGTCACCCAAAACAAGTTTGGGTGACACGCTTTGCGTGATGTGGTTTGCCATGGTTGCAGTGCGATTTATTGTTTGATAATCACGTGAGAACTGCACTGCGTTTTTAGGTGCTATTAAAATGAATGGCACCTGAGTACACTTTTGTGCTATTTGTTATTTTAGCTAAGCATTTTAAAACCACGGGCAGAATTGTGCCCATTCAAAACGCCATAATGTCAAGCATGCAGCATTTTTTTTTACTAATATAAAATTCGGCCTATTGTTTTCATTGTGCCAGTGCACACAGGTGCATAAACCAGCACTGTGTGTTGATCAGTAAAAGAAAAATCTGCTGGTCAGTATTTTAATGCTCACATGTGGACACAGTCATGGACGCAGTCACTACTCCCAACTTGACATCCATGTGGCATACCCGTGCCGTTCCGTCAGAGCTCTGTGTGAGTGATGTCATCGTGGCTCAGCCAATGAAATGGTCAGAGCCCGCAAACCCAGAAGGAAGACCAGGTGAAGATGGAAGCTCTGTAACAGTGCACTGCTGGAGGGCTTCATTCTAAGGGAAGTCTTTCATAATGAGCTAGTATGCAATGCAATGAAAAAAGATGGATTCTATTAAATTTCTCCAGCAAGCTAAACATATGTTGATATTGTCAAATGTTCAGTTAAAAGCTACCTAGCATATATGATTTGAATACAAAAAATTTGATTCCGATTTAATATGATAATTAAAATGACCATTACTTAACGGTCCTTTCACATGGGCATTCTGGGTTTTTTTTTTTCATCAGTTCAGTCACTTTTTTTCCTAGAAAAAACGCATCAGTTCACATCCGTTTTTCATCAGTTTACATCCGTTTTTCAGTTTACATCCATTTTTTACATCCTTTACCAATACAAAAACGGCCGTTTGTCCGTTTACACCTGTTTACAACCATTTTTTGTCCGTTTTTTTTTTTTTCGTTCAAAAAAAAAAACGGACATTAACAAATGTGGACATTAACGGATGTAAACAGATGATCATCCGTTTACATCTGCTAGCCAATAGAAATACATGGGTATCTGTTTTTCATCCGTAAACAGATGATAAATGGACATACGGAACGCCCATGTGAAAGAGCTCTTAGGGGAATTACGCTTCTACTGATGGTTACCTTGTTTGCGTCTTGTTGCAGAATTCTGTATCCCTTTTGAGATTCACTGTACCCCACAAGTACACTTTCCTTTGTGCAAGCATCCCATTTTGTACATTTTTCTTTTGGGATCTGCGCAAAAGAAAAACGTTTTTAGATAGTTCAAATTTGGGGGCATTCCTTTCCATAGTTCATATAGAGTTTTCTCAGTTGATTTTCCTGGTAGTCAGCTATAGAGATTGCATGCGGCCATAATAGCCTCCCCCATATGTTGGCATATCTGCATCAAACAGCATGGTTCTTCCACTCTCGCATAAAGTACAGTTCATTCTTTCTGCAACCTCGTTTTGTTCTGGGTTTTATGGCACAGTAGTATGAAATCATTTTTATATATATATATATATATATATATAATATATTTAAATATTTTTTGGTATTTATACACTTTTATTAGTTATTTGTATCATAATTTGTTGAGAAATATTTAGGAGCGCAACATATATTTGTAGACAGTAGTATGAAATATTATGCCATGCTTTCTGAGAATCGCCTGTGTGTTATCACCTGAATATTCAATTCTATTGGCTCAAGTAAGTAACAAATTTAGCAAAATTCCAAGTACATTGCGTACACATACTGCTCAAGTTTCTCTGGTACTTCACTTTTGTTGTGTAACAGATATAGTGTAGTATACCTGGAGTTATCATTTATAAAAGTGAGAAAATACCTCTTCCTTCTTGTAGTCAATTTTTCCATTGGACCTCAAAGATCTGAATGAATTAACTCCAGAGGTTTCTTAGTTCTACTGTTACTATGCTTTGGAAAGGCTTTTCTTGTAGTTTTTCCTTTTATACAGCTGGTGAATTTCAATGTTTGATCACATGGACTAATTTTTGTTCCACTTGCATAGTCATTCTCACTTAATTTCTTTGTTATGTCAGGAATTCTGTGCCCAAGTCGTCTGTGCCATTTGTGAAAGCAGTTTGAATATTTTTTCTCCTAGTCAGTATTAACCACCTCATTGCAGCTCAACTGATACAATTAATCTGTAATTTTAGTCTTTGCAAGTAAGATATGCCCTTTTGTGATGGCAAAACTGTCATTGCCTTGTTTTGTGAGTTTCTTCACTGACAAAAGATTAGTTTCAAGAGTAGGGAATTACAGGACATTTTTCACAGGTATCTTTCTGGTGACACTCAGGGAAATAGGACAGTTTTTTCTGTTTTATTCTGGTCAAGGTGAATAAAGGAATTTTGTATTATTTGTCATTTGACTCGTAGCTTCTGAATCAACACACCTTGCCTGTAAAGTTGAGGTGCAACTTTTGGATTGAAAAACATATTCATTATATGAAGAAAAATCAGTTTCTTCCTTCACACTTTTGACTTTTTTAATTTAGGTTGCTTGTTTTTTGGGTGTTTTTTCTGCATTCTAGATTTCCAGATTCTGCATTCTTCTTTTAAATGACCTTGTTTCTTGCTTACAAAACATTCACATGTTTCTTGTTGCATGTTACTGTTTTTATGCCTATTTTTTTGTCTTTAAAGCAGACTCTGCGACAGAAGCACTGTCACTATTAATGCTTTCTGTTTTACACTTATATTCATCCATAAGCTTGCCCTTAACATATTCCAATGTGAGGTCATCATCTGGACATGCATCAAGTGCTGTGACAAGCGTTTTATAACTATCTGGTAAACCAGTAAGTAATGTTGCTGCAACATGAAAATCTTTTATTTGTTCTCCTATACCTCTCTAGCATTCAGCTATTTTCAAGGTGTGCCCTATGTAATCCTGAACATCCTGGCTTTTCATCAGTTTGCTTTGGTATAGCTTTTTAAATCAAATACAATTTATTGCTGAGATTTGCTACTGGCCATTTTGTTTTATTCTGTTGCAGTCTTCTTTCTGTTGCTGTATCTTGCAAATGTTTGCTGCAGCGGGCTATGACTGGGTGTCTGGGCCCATAACCTGTTAGAGATTCTGTATATAGCCCTACAGAACAGACAGTGCATAGTCCACATGTGAAATGGAAATTTTATCCCAGAGAAACAACAGAGAGTTTAACCGCTTTCCCGCCAGCCTATAGCAGATATACTGTTACAGGGCGGCACGCGTGAGCAAAATCACGTATATCTACATGATTTTGCATTTCCAGGTAGGGGGTGTGCGTGAGCCGTGAGCGCCCAACCCATGCCGCTATTCGCGGCCTCGGCTGTCAATCACCCGGTCCAGGCCAGTGATTACTTGCCGTCATCCAGTGATCGCCAAGCATTACCGACGGAGGGAGAGAACTGTATGTAAGCAATACAGTTCTCTCCCCTGTCAGCACCAGCATGCTGCTTTGTATTGCTCTGCATAGCAGAGCAATACAAAACAGCATGCTTACATAGTAAAACAGCACATAATGTGAAACAGCACACAGTTAACCCTTTGATCGCCCCACATGTTAACCCCTTCCTGTCCAGTGCCATTAGTACAGTGTCAGTGCTTTTTATTAGCACTGATCACTGTATTGGTGTCACTGGGGATGTCAGTGACACCAAGTCAGTTCCCCCCAGTATCAGAATGCCCGCCGCAGTCCCCGCTATAAGTCGCTGATCGCCGCCATTGCTAGTAAAATATAAAAATCCCAGTGTATATACCGCCATTTGTAAACGCTATAACTTTCATGTAAACCAATTAATTTACATGTATTGGGATTTTTTTAGCAGACATGTAGTAGAATATATTTTGGCCTTATTTTCTCAGAATTGTTGGGCTTTTTTTTTATAGTGCAAAAAATAAAAAATGCACAGGTGATCAATTGCCACCGAAAGAAAGCTCAATTTCTGGGAAAAAAGGATGTAAACTTCATTTGTGTGCAGCGTTGCATGACCGTGCAATTGTCAGTTAAAGTAACCCAGCGCTGTAACGCAAAAAATGGCCTGGTCAGGAAGGGGGGGGGGGGAATCCTCTGGAGGGCAAGTGGTTAAAGATGTAGCTACAAACTTATAAACACTGCCACTGCTACTAGTTGAAGAATATATCTCCACTGATTACTGATGTAGTTGTTGCACAAGGAATACATGAACACTGTATTCCAACAGCTTTTACATATATAGTGTAGATAGATAGATTAGACTTCCAGCCTTTAGAAACTTTAGATGTTTGTAGCAAGTTACCACTCCACAGAACATTTAATTGTGGTGTACAAAAGCCTAATAACTTAACATATACGTTACACTCTTTGCTGTGTGTATTATAAAAGCAGACAACCACACAGAGTGGCTCTCCTATCAATGGTAAATTGTTGAAAGCATATGCAATGGAAACATCAGCAGTAAGCTGTGAAAGACTAAAAAAAGACCTTGGTCAGATAAATTCCAGGTCCATCTGCACCGCCATGGCCATGTAATGCCTTTGGAAGGAACTTTATTACAGCATTCATTAAAGGGAAAAGCCTTGTATTAATGTGCAGCTGTTGCGTATCACATTTATGTATGCAAGGTCAATGTCACTACTCTTCATACCCCTTGTGGAATCATCACTCCTGGGTGTGATAGCTGCTTGTCAGGGCAGTAGTAATCCAAAGCAATTCAAAATAGATCCTTCTGTTTTTCTGGATATGTAGTCTATAAAACATGCATATTTTTTTTTTTTCTGCTTGTGTGTGCTTATGGGATTCTCCAAATTGCTTTGCTAAGTTTCTGACAAAGTACACCTTTTATCTGATTCCATATGAATACTATGAGTTTGATTGCCTATTTTTGTGCAGTCCTCTGTTTGCCTTGAATATATCATACATAAATTCACAGTTCACTAGCTAGGAATAAAATCGTCTGTCATCACAGCTGTCTCAATGTGTTCTTCTTTTCGGATGCCAGCGGCATCATCACATAGGCATACATCAGTGTGGAAGATGAAACTAAAGCAATATCCCTTTGGGTCTATCACATCCGTCTATCCTGAGGAAAACCGGATTTTCATTACATCAAATCAGAACAGATGCTCTTATCAGTGAAAATGAAATTCAGAGCAAGTCTAGATGATCATCCGTCATCTGACAAAATATACATAAATTGGTAGATGCAGCTCTTTACTTTTCATTTCCTCCAACCTATTTTAGTCAGCCTGATTTGCACAGAAAATGTCACTGAGGTTATAAGGAGGTACAGTGCAAAGTATTTTGTAAGTCAGGTGCACATAAAATAGAGCTCTTCAGCCCAACATAACCATCGTTCATAATTTACAGTTCTTCTTTTAAAGCTGAACTTATTGAAAGTTACATAAATAGTTGAAATCTGTTAGCGAGTTGTTTTCATACCAGACAGCACCACCAAATCTTTATCCTTTATTGAAACAACAGCAGCCTTCACTCCCCAAGGCTGCTAATTGAACAATGAGTGAACAGCAGTACACTGATGAGGTTATCCATCTGCTCACTCCTCTCTCTACTTCTGTCAGTATGTTCCCTGTCAACACATATGAATGCAGGAGTGCCTTATTGGCTCCTATCACTGACTGTCCCTCTCTTAAACTGGCCATACACTATACAATTGGGCAGAAATTGGAGAGAAAATCGTATAGTGTATGGCCAGCCTTAGTGTGTGCAGGTTATCACAAAAGGCTGATATCAAGTCTAGTTTAGGTACTTACACTACATTTCTATTAGAAAATGAAACACAGTTTTCCGGCAGCAACATGGGTGACTTCCCAACAGCTGCCGGGACAAAATCAGTTCAGTATTTCTCAGCAATTTAGAGGAAGCCTTGTATTTATATGCATGAATGTTTTTTTCTGATGATTGAGCCCTGGTTCACACTGATGCAGTGTGGAATTCGCAGCGTTCGCTATGCGAATTTCGCACCACATCAGAATCGCACCCCGTTCATGCGAACTGCTGCGGTTGTGTATGTTAAGTCAACAACACCCCGAAAGCGATCCGCAAAACGCGGTGCGATGTGCAGAATCAGATCACATGGGTGTGAATACCCATGCGATCCAATTCTAGAGCGGACCAAAAAAAGGGTCCTGCATCTTTTTGGTGCGGGTGTGGTGCGATTAAAGCCATACAAAATGTATGGCTCCAATCACACCGCACACAAATTGCATTTGATTTGCACAGGAATGCGGTGAGGTTCCTGTGCAAATCACATGCGATATACGTGAACCCAGGCTTAAAGTCCATGCAAATTTGAAGAGACAAAATCATTATTATTATACTGTACATGTCTGCACTACCCTTGAAGGTGAAGTGACTGGTATCTTTTTTAACTGTCTGAGAAAGCAGCGTGTGTGTTTGCAAAATCCTCAGTACTAGCCTGTTATCTACTGGAGAGCTTTCTAATTAGATGTGACAGGAGTGCAGGTCTCTTTCATGTTCTGCTTGACAAATATTTCTACCCGCTTTAGTGACGCATTAACTTTTCTACCCTCAGTTCTTCTAAAGATTTCATTAGTTTATTCAAATCAGTATTTATTGAAAGAGGTGAGGTACAATTGCTGATACAAGTCATGTCTCTTGACAAAAGCAGTGCGTGACTGGTATAAAAGGCACATAGGTTCAAATGGTAGACATAGCCATCAGTGATAATGGTGTCTAATCAAAACGAGGCGACAGTTACATGAAAGTCAAACACCATGCCTTATTAACATACCTCTATAAGTTTTATACTTCATTTTGACTTCATTAACCACTTGAGCTCCAGAGGATTTACCCCCTTAATGACCAGGCCTCTTTTTGCTACTCGGCGCTGCACTAATTCAACTGATAATTGCGCGGTCATGCAATGCTGCACCCAAACAAAATTTATGTCCTTTTTTTCACACAAATAGGGCTTTCTTTCGGTGGTATTTGATCATCTGTGCTCTTTTTATTTTTCACGCTATAAACAAAAATATGCCAAAAATTTTGAAGAAAAACAATATTTTATACTTTCAGCTATAAAAAATATATAGTAAACTCAAAGTTGGTTATAAATTTAGGCCAAAATGTATTCTGCTACATGTTTTTGGTAAAAAAAATCCCAACAAGTGTATATTGATTGCTTTGTGTGAAAGTTATAGCGTCTACAAACTATGGTATAAATACTGCAATTTACGCCATTTTTCTGCTATACAGCGCTGCGCTAGTTTAACGGACAATTGCGCGGTCATGCAATATGGTACATAAATGAAATTTACATCCTTTTTTCCCCACAAATTGAGCTTTCTTTCGATGGTATTTGATCGCCTGTGCGGTTTTTATTTTTTGTGCTATAAAAAAAAGGCTGACAATTTTGAGGAAAAAAAACAATATTTTGGACTTTTTGCTATAAAACATGTCCAGTAAAAAAAATGTAAAAATCAAATTTAGTCATAAATTTCTGCCAAAATGCATTCTGCGACATGTCTTTGGTAAAAAAAAACCCCAATACGTGTAAATTAATTGGTTTACGTGAAAATTATAGCGTTTACAAATGGCGGGAAAGATACTGGAATTTTTATATATAATAATGGCGGCGATCAGCGACTTATGGCGGCGATAAGGGACTTATGGTGGCAATCAGCAACTTATGGCGGGACTGCGGCGGACATTCTGACATTGGGGGGTACTGACTTGGGGTCACTGACATCCCCAGTGACACCAATACAGTGATCAGTGCAAAAAAAAAAAAACACTGACACTGTACTAATGGCACTGGGGAGGAAGGGGTTAACTTTATTTTGCAGGGAAGGGTTATCTGAGTGAGGGGGAGTGTTTTACTATGGGGCGGAGGTGTGTACTGAAGGGAACACCGCTGATCGGGAGAGGGAAACTCTGTCCCGGTCAGCGTGTTCTCGAGCTGTCAGGGAAGTGACAGAAAGCACATCTACTGCAGCTGTGCTCTCTGTCACTGATTGCCGCCGATCGCCGGGTCATAGCCGGTAAGGACCGGCTGTGACCCGGCGACTGACATCCGCAGCTGTGATCGGCGGGACAAGCAGGGCGGCGGTGCGCCTCGCGCGCTCCTACCTGTTTACAAAACACACTTTTTAAAACGTGGTTTTGGCTGCCCGTGCCGCCCTGCCGCCGTATTTCTACAGTGGCAGGGTGGCAAGTGGTTAATTTACCTGCATCTTGCCACAAAGATTCCTTAATTAACCACTTCAAGTCCAGACACTTTTACCCCCTTCCTGTCCAGGCCAATTTTCAGCTTTCAGCATGGTCATGTAACACTGTACCCATGTGAATTTTTTAGCATTTTCGTGAGACAGATAAAACTTTATTTTGGTGGTATTTATTCACCACTGGAATTTTTTTTTTTTTTTTGCTATATAAATTAAAAAAATTTTGAAAAAAAGTGTTCTTCTTATAAAATTTTGCAAATAAATAATCTTTCTTCATAAATCTTAGCCAAAATGTATTCAGCTATCTTTTTAGTACAAAAAAAATAACCCAAATTAGTTTATAACCAAAAATTATATTTTTTCAAAAAAATTTTGTTACATTTTAATTTTTTTTTATATTATTATTTGTTTTTTTTTTCCTTAACATACTGTCACCCTAGCAGTACAGTGTCACCATAGTGACACTGTACTACTTGTGGGGGGTGATGAAGATTTTTTTTTTTTTTTTACACTGATTACGGTTACACTCATAAAGGCTGTAAAAGCAATAATTTCT